GGCACCCGCCCGGCAGAGACACCGCTGCCTCCCCCAGCCCCGCCAGCCGCGCTGGGGAGACGGCGAGGGACCGAAAAGCGAAGCGTGGGGACATGCGCATGCAGGCGCCCTCGGCACGGGAACGGGGGCTGGCACCGGGCATGGCGCCCACGACCTCCCGCTCCTCTCCTGCCTCCGAATTACCAGAAAGTCAGGGTAGGGAGTGGAGGCTGACGGGAACTGCTGCCGGCAGCAGGCGCAGGCAGGGCAGCGGGCACGTATTCCTGAGTGCGTGGCAGGGCTGTGGCCAGCTCTCCTTCCTCTCCAACCCCGTCCTCATCCCCATCCCCGGGCTCCCCATCAGACCCTCACTGCAGAGTGAATTCTACGGTGAACGGAAGGACACTATCAGTTAGTATTTAAGGCTAGGCTTTATACGGCAACTATAAAAAAATAAACGCTAATCTCCAAAGAGCCGGGCGAGGGCTCTCCGGCGTATGGCTGTGGCGCGCGTGCCGGCGCCAGGCTGCGGGGAGCGGGGGGAAAGCACCGCACGGGCACTCGGTGCCGGACCAAGGGCCTGCTGGCACCCGGAGCACCCGGTGACGGGGCGGCCCCTCCCCTGCCCCACCGCTGTGCCCCACAGAAATGCCTCGGGGGGACAAGGGAGAGGGCCGGGTGTTTTGGTAAGGACGCGGAGACTGACTGGTAATCCAGGACCCACCTCTACACGTGACTGAGGGCGCTCTGCAAGAAAGGCCACAGGGGAAAGAAATATCCTGCAAAGTAACGAGGCTGGCGTGGGCGAAAGCTTTCCCGTGGCGGGGGTCCCTCCTCGGTCCCTCCGACCAGCCCCATGGGAGGGGAAAGCGCTCTGCCAAACGAGAGGAAACTGCCCTACCCCCACCCCCCCCAACTCAAATCAATAAAACCGAACCTAAAAGCGGACACAGAGGAACATCTCAGGCTACCTAGGTACTTCATCAGCCAAAAAGAGCTAAACAGCGAAGCGCACACACACAGGACAGCGCGGGAGGGCGGAGATCAGAGACGGACAAAAGCCAGGTTCTTCCTTCCTGCTTTGCCTCCCCGTCTCCGACTGGCAGCCGAGCAGGGCCCCGGCGGCTCGGCGGCCGGCCTCGTCCCGCAGGAGGGAACGGGCTGGCTCCCCTCGTCCCGAGAAGAGGCAGCCGGCTCCGGGAGCATCCTCACGGCATGGCCGAGCGCGAAGCGTAGAATTCGGGGACCGGCAGGCCGGTGTGCAGCGTCACCTGCAACGAGAGATTACAGGGCTCAGCTGCATCCCTCCGTGCCTGGCGGGACAGCCCACGGCGCAGCAGCCGGCACGTCGAGGCAGGATGCAGCCAGAGAGGTTGCAGGGAGCCGACTGCTCCTCCTGCCCCGCTGCGCATCCTCCCTGCTGCGGCGGGGACCTGGGGGGTGGGAGAGGCTGTCCCCAGGACCACGGCGGTGGCTCCATCTCGCTGTTTTATGACTTGTTTGCGCTGCTGGGGCCCCTACGAAGTGGGACTGCTGGCACCGGCGGTACCAAGCCTCAAATATTCCCAGCTGGCTGCGGATGGATCCAACAGTCGGCTGTCGGAGAGGTGGGACACGGCAGAAGCTGGGTCTTTCTGCAGATGGGATGGACAAAAGGGTACGGAGGGGGCTGAAGGACAGTGAAGCCACTCAGTACAGAAGGAGACCTCCGAGAAGCCCCCGAGCCGAGCACGGGCCGTACAGCGGAGGGGACGTGGCCGATTGCCGGTGGGGGGAAGGACCTTCGCAGCGGGGAAGCTGAGCAGCAGTAGCAGGGTGCCGGGGCAGGGCCGTGCTATGCTGGGGGGGGATGCTCAAGTGCAAAACGGGAGCTAGGCACTCGGCCCGGCATCGTCTGGGGATGGGGAGCGATGCAGCAGAGACCGTAACACAGGGACCGAGGGGAAGTGAAAGGAATACCAGAGACCCGACGCTTACCGCGTCTAGGAAAACCCTGGTCCATAGGAAGGGATACGGGCAGGCTCTGCTTGTACGGACTGATCCGGCATGGGGCCAGGTCCTGCAGATACCCACACACGTGCCGAGGAGCTGCGCGTGGGTAATTCAGTTCCCTCCACGTATACTTTAATTTGGGAGGAAAGCACAATTCCTTCTTTTATTGGAACAGCAGCATTTTCCCCTTCAGATACAGATTTATAGAAAACTTTTTCTAAAATACAATTATTTCCCTCCTAATTAGAGTAATTTTTAATTACTCCTACACCTTTGAAGAAGGATAATGAATGTCTTGGGTTTATTAGCAGCCTTTTATCAGCATCCCATGGGACTTCTCTGTTGTCAGGGGATTTAAGCTCTGCCTTGGCCAGAGAACTGTCAGAAAGCAGAGGGGCTCTAGAAACGCGCTCGTCTTTCAGGGCTGTGTAGAAGATTGCGGTAGGAATTAAACCCATCACAGAGCAGGACGTTTTTACCACACCGAATTAATACAGTAACCTCTAAAATCAGCACAGACAAGATGGGCTCCTTTAACGTTTCCCAATTAAACACCGGCACGGCCCCGGCACGGCGCGCGTTTGCCAGCCCCTCTCCAAGCCGGGCAGACTCCCCTGCCTGCGAGGCCCTTGGGGTGGGACACTCCGGCAGGGATGCTCCCAGGGTTTGGGATGGTACTGACCAACCTCTGCCCCAGTGCTGCTGGAAAACTGTCCCTGTCTTGGTGACAGCGCAGCATGCCCCGTATCCCAATGGACAACACAGCAGAGCACGCCCTAATCCATGGATCCCTAATTTACAGAGGCCACTTGGTGCCTCTGCCCTTGCAGAGAGGTGATGCCTTTGACACCCACTGCAGAAGACCACGCCAAAATGCTCGACACCCTGAGGTCATCCGTTAGGTGCAACATGTCCTAGGATGTGCCTGGGCACTTGTGCAGTGCTGGAGGTGCAAGCGGTGGTAGAGTGGATGTGCCAAAGCCAGGTTCGGTGAACACGGGGGACTTGTTGGGGGAGAGGATAGCAGGGATGGGATTAGTGAGAAGAAAAATGAAAAGATGAAAATACCGGATAGGCCCAGGGAGCCACCGCTTGGTGACGTTCAGGAGAGCTGAGAGCTTGGGAGAGAGGGAGAGAAGAGGGGTTTGAAACTCCCCAGAGGAAAATGGGCTTTAGAAGGTGCCCTTCTCCCTGGTAATGCTCCTATCTGGGTCCTGGGAGAGCAGTAAGAGCTGGCGAGGCTCTTGTGGGGTAGTATCACGGAACAGAGTTGTCAAACCCAGGGAGGGCTGGAGAACCCTGGTGCTTCATCAGCCCTGATGGAGAAACCTGGAGCAGGGAGCTGGAAGCAGCAGCTGTGGCTGCAGGAAGGCCTGTCCTGATTTTAGAGACTCGCAGGTGGTTTAGGGTGTAAGTTTAGCTCTTCCCAAGCTGCCCCTGTTGCACAAGAGCCCTCCCCGCTCCACAAAGTCCCCACGCTGCTGAGCATCAACACACACTGCAGCGACAGCAGCATTAGAGGGAGTCTGCCAGCAAGCTCAGCCGCAGGGTATGCTGCTGTGGTGCTCCAGAGAGCACGGTCAAAGCACGTACCTGCACGTTCCTGTTGAGGCTGACCGCGGGGAAGAAGAGGCCCTCCAGGTTCTCGAAGGCGACAGGCCCTTGCTGGTCCTCGTTGATGGAGAACGTCAAGGTCCTCCTGGTCAAATCCAGCAGCACTCCCACCGTGGCGCCTTTCGTTATCCCACCCTCGGTTCTGCGGGGGCGAGAAGAAGATCAGCGCATCTCTGTGGCTTAGTGTCCCTTGTGCTCCCGCCTCAGCGTTCAGGCCATGGACCTCAATGGCCGACGATGCTGAACTTCACAGCTCACCCAGGAGCCAGGCCGTGACCTGCACCCGTCCCAGCCACGCTCGCAAGTCCCCGGGGCACCTCCTCCTCAAGCCTCCCGCAGAGGTGCTCTCCGCTTGCCATGATGTCCCTGAGGGCAAAGCTACCTACCAGAGCAGCCACCGCAACACAACCATGGGGGAAAGCAAGTGGACCTGGGGAGCAAAGCCGCAGGGCCCACTTCAAAACCTGCTGACCCATCAAGGGAACGGCCCTCGAGGCTGCAGGAAGGTGACCCCAGGCTCTCCTCAAGCCCCACCGCAAGCTTCAAAGCCCCCAGTCCCACTGTCCCATGGGGAAAGCGACAGCTGTGGCACAGGAATGAAGGCAAACGCTATTTTCTCGTTGCACGACTTGCAAGGCTTTGGGTGTTAGTGGGAAGGGGGTGCTACACAGGAGTGGTGCCGTGCATGCTCGGGGGAAGAGTCAGCACGGAAAGAGTCGCAGTAGGCAGGGAAGGAATATTGGAGCAAGGCAGAACCAGGGAGGCAGGGACTGTCCCCCGCTCGGGGTAAGGGCACATCCTCTAATAAAGGCGATCAGGAGCGATGTCACCCTTCCCGTGGGCGCCTGTAGGTGCCACTGGAAAAGCCACGGGCTCTTACTTGGGCTGAGATTGGGCTGTGGTCTCTGGGAGGAAGACCCTGTTCCAGACCACGTACCTGTTGGTGTGCGAATTGTTGTGCATGAACCAGCTCCGGTTATTGTCCACGTACATGGCCCAGGCCTTGTCGTCCTTGCCCAGCATGGCATCCTTCAGGACATCAATGCGTGCCACACCAAAGGCCGGGTCAGGGTGGTTATCGTAACGATCGATTGACAGCTCCCAGTAATGGAGCCCTTTGGAAAAGCCCGTTTTCCCCAGCACAACCCTGTCATCATAGCTGTTGCAGGTGACAGTCAGGTTGTCATTAGAAAAGATGATGTCAGCATGGGCAGAGGCAGGATCGAAAGAAAACCAAGCAACTGGAATATACAAACAACATCAGGTTAGTCTGGCGGGAGCACGGCCGTCAGTGACCGAGCCGCGTGGAGCGGACACTAAACAGCGCATGCTGCATGCAGGGCCGACACGTAGCGCGATGTCAGCATGGGCAGAGGCAGGATCGAAAGAAAACCAAGCAACTGGAATATAAAAACAACATCAGGTTAGTCTGGCGGGAGCACGGCCGTCAGTGACCGAGCCGCGGGGAGCGGACTAAAAAGCCCGTTTTCCCCAGCACAACCCTGTCATCATAGCTGTTGCAGGTGAAGTCCGGTTCGCTAAATATAGCCGGTATCGACTGGGCAGCGGGACCGGCAGCCCCGGGGAGGCGGGGGGGGGGCCGGGCCCCCCCCCCCCCGACACGGCAGCAAGAAGCAGGCAGGGAGCTGTACAGCGGAGGGGGCTGCTGGCTCACGGAGGGCACCTTCTTGCGCAGCTGCAGCCCGCCAGCGCGGCTGAGGTTTTACGGCCGGGACTCAGACGAGTTTTGCTCTTGCTGCTCCCCGGTGCCTGTCTGTCTCCATCCCCTCCCACTGTCTGTCCGTCTGAGCTCGTGAGCCCGCAGGATCCTCACGATCTCCTAAAATTTGGCCCTAGCAGAAGGAGACGTGCGATCCTGGCCAGGTCTCCAGGCTCTAGCTAACATAACTTACTCTTATGACTAAGAGTTACTCATGCAAGCAACAGTTTGCAGGGTCGGGTCCAGCGTGGGAAGGGGACTGAGGATCAGCAGATAAACTGTGTGTGTGTATTTGAGGGGTGGCAGTCCTGGGAACCAAAAGCACATACAAAGGTCTACAATGACAGAGATGCTACGTCACACCGAGAAACCTCCCTGCAGAGCAACCGGCCACATGTAAGACAAGAGCTAGCTCATGGGAAGGCTGGAAAATGCCTGGAAACCTCCACGACTCGGTACGGCTGCTGGTTTAAATGCACGGGACTCGGAGAGTGCAAATCTGACAGATACAGTGTCACGTCCTCGACAAGACAGAGGCACGGGGTTTCACAAGCCACCAGCCCGGTTCCCCAGGTGGTTTTCTCCAGCGGTCACTGAAACATGAACTGACACATCCACAAAACACTCTCACGCCTGCAGGATTAAATACGGCTTGAAAAATAAAACACTCCGGTGAGATTTATTCATTGGTTTATTGGATCGTTTCACAAGACAGCTCACATGCACGTGGGTGCCCCAGTTTCGCAACTTGACGGAGGTGATTCCGTACCTGCCACCATTTTTTTAATGTCAACTGTGGTCATTCCCAAGGAAAGGCATGCAGGAGAGAAAACAGCACGTAAAGTTGGGTAAAGAAAGGAAAGAAAGGAAGGAGAAACAATTCCTGCTTGCCTGCTTCTCCAGTGAGCACAGGGACCTTTCAGCGTTTTGCATAAAGGTGGGGAGAGACGGAGCGAGGATGGGCTCGGGCTGCCAGCGGGCGTAGGCTGGCCGGCACGGTGTGCGAGCTGCCCGAGGAGGGAATCCCGCTGGGCTGGGCACGGGGCTCCTTCTCCCGGGGGGAACGAACGGGCCTGATCTTGCAGGCTGCTGAGCGCCGCTGCCCCAGGGGGGGGAGGCAGGTCTGCATGGGGCAGGCACCCAGCTACAACGGGTGCTGGCTCCAATTCGCCGCAGAGGGGCTAATCCCCTCCTTGGCATTTGGCCAAGCGCCCTTAACGAACTGGAATACGTATTGCTTTGAGCAGGAGGACCAGTTCTTAATTACAGGGCCACTTCCAGAGCACTGACTTCAGGCTTCTCTTTAAAACCATACGGGGGAGAAACTTAAAATGCCTTTACATCATATGGCAATGACCATTCCTCCTCCAAATTTACCTACTGCCATGACATCCGAGAGCGCCCTGCAGGCAGGGTATGCGCAAGAAATGCTGCTCACTCGCCGAAGAGAAGTTAAAGATTAAAAAAAAAAAAAAAAAAAAAAAAAAAAAAAAAAAAAAAAAAAAAAAAAGAAAAAAGGATGAGCAACATGGAGTAGGTGCCAGTTAATCGTAATAAATATACTTGCCTAATTGAGAGTAAGGCGTTCCTTGTGTCTCAAAATTGCATCCTATAAAGAGATACTACATTTCACACATCACAGCTAAGAAACAACAACCGCCTGAAAAACACTCATGAGCATTTAACCTTTAACTAAGCATCCAGCCAGCCACGGGAGGCCTGATTCATTAAAAGCCAGAGGACATGGAGGGGGCTCGCAAATACGACCCGTGAGTTTGAGTGCGGACTGCTGGCCGTTTTGGTGAGTCTCACCTCTGGGAAGTGTGGAGTATCTGGTCTTTCATTGCCAGATCCCATCACAGCCTTCAAGAGCATCAAGTCTGATTGCTACCTGCTCAGGATGCCAAATCATTGGACCTTCCTCCAGAAAAGGGGCAGGAAATTTTAGCCTTGGCAGAGTATCTTAGCCGCTTCTCTAGATTGATCCTCGGTTGAATCACTTAAAAAAAACCCCAACACTCCTTGGAGGACAGGGACTGATGAAAGAAAAGCAGCCACTGGTATATCCAGTGAACAGGGACCACCAAGCTCTCCCGGGCTGCCTCCCCTGCCGTGTGCGCGGTCTGGGCGGGAGTGGAGCAGGAGAGGGGGTCCCTGGGGGCAGAAGCGTGGCCTCAGACCCCCGCTAGCACCCAAAGGGCACCGGGCTGTAGCTTCGACTGCAGCTGCACGGGCAGGATATGTTGGGGTGCCCTTCATCCTCCTGCGACTGGGCTGTGCCTGACTGCTGGCTGCAAACACCTCCTGGGAGCTGCACTGCAGCCGGGGACTGATCCAGAAGCTTGTCCTAATCCGGGAGCTTGTCCTCGCCAGGAGGAGAGGGCAACGTGAAGCCCCATGTTGGCACTGCGCAGGAGGGCATTCGTGACGGGTGCTGGATTTTAAGGAAAACCCCGTCTCGCCCTGTGACTGGTTTTCACCTCTCCTCTGGCAAGGCAGCAGGCTTTTCACACTGCTGGCGTGCGTGTTGGTGGGAAAGCACCTGGCCGCAGTTGCGCTCCATGGCGAGTGCCAAGCAGCACCTCCTGAGGCTGTTTTAATGAATCGCGCCCCGTGCCCCTAGTCAAAGAGTGGGTTTTCAAGGTCTCTGTGCATCGCTGCGGTACAACTTCACCTGAGTGAGAAACAGCACGGACACGTGGGCACATTGCGGACCCCGTTTTGCCCTGCCCCACCACCCCAGACCGCGGCTGCAGAGGTCCGTACTGCACACACAAGTATTGCTCATGGCCATCGCGGTGGACCTCGGTACACTGGACACAAAGTAAGAGACGTCCGTAACAAAACAGAGTTCAAGCCATTAGCGCACAGCAGTACGATGAGAAAAAAAACATAAAAAGCACAAAGAAAAGAAAGTTGCAGGGCCCCCCGTTACTCTGGCAAGGGTCATGCTGCAGCATTCCTCATTCCGGGTTATGGGATGGAAATCAAACAATCGGGGACCCCCATTCTTCCTGGGCTTACACCAGAGAAAGCCGTGAATTACTCCATTGGAGCCCATGGAGTGGTGTAAATCCAGAGCGGTGGAAGAATTGGGGCCCAGGATCTTTAGCAACGGAAGATGTGCGAAGACTGGTTAGAAAACAGCTCTGAGAGATGCACTGTGCCTGTGGCTCCTTCGCTGGCTGCCCAATACCGTCACTCATTCTGCCTGTACTGCCTACGTCCCACCACAGCCTGCGAGGACCGGGCGCAAGGAGGCAAGCAAAGCGCTTGCGGGTGCTGCCAGACGAGCAAGGTATCACAGGAGTGGGTTCCTCTGCTCTGCAGAAAACAAGACTTCGATACGATCACGTCTGGTTTTGCAAAAGCTGAGCCCAGTGCTCAAAGCTGAGCGGACGAGAGCCCACGTCTTCAGGGTCTTAAGAAGCCAGACTGCAAGGGGTCTGTGAGCTGGCCTTAGCTAGACCTTGCTTGCATCTAGACTTGCTTCTTTCTTAAGAGGGGTCTAGATTTAATCGAGCAAACTAATTTCACAGAACAAATCTCACAGCAGAGGCTGCGTTTTCTGGTTGTATAGGGAAAGCAAACCATCGAGATGGCCCCACAGGTTTCTCCCAGGGAGGGTCTGTTCTTCTGACTGTCCCTAAACACAAGATCAATACAAACTAGAGATGAGGGATCTGCTCTGCTGGCTGGCTGTGCGAAATGGTTCAGCCATGCCGGCCCTGCCAAGAACAGCACCCACTTAAGGAGTTACTGTGCTGCTCCACCACCCCACGCCTGAAACTGCCCGTTCTGGTACATACAGATGAACACACCACAAGAACTACGCCACTGAAAGTCCCTCTGAGGCAGGAGCAGGCCACTGACAACCAGAAGGAGTTCCCCCTGCCATCCGCATGTCATGGGAAAAACAAACACAACGGAACAAAACAAACAAATACTTTGGAGATGCCCAGAAGCACAGACCAAGAGGAGATGCCAGAGGCACTCAGCTCACCGGCTGAATTCAGGGACTGTAAAGAAGAATGCAAGCTCAGCTGGTGGGCCGAAGATCTTAGCTCAAAGTAGGATCTCCCCGGAAAGCTGGGTTGCAGATTAAGGGTGGAGGAGAAAGGACTCATTCTACGAAGCTGCGATCTTTCCAAAGGCACTGGAAAAGGGAGGGTCTGTTCTTCTGACTGCGTGTCTAAACGTAAGATCAATGCAAACTAGAGATCAGAAATCGGGTCTGCTGGACGGTGTCACTCCATCGCCCGAGACCAGACCTCGGACCAGAGCACAGATGCTTCGGCACGCACGGACCCTGCTTTGCTGCAGCGAGCGTGCGTACGGTGCACGGAGCAGAAATGTCTGCTCGCTGTGCAACCCAGCGAGACCCTTCAGGAAAGCCTTGCCTCTGACAGTATCAGCAATAAAGATATTTTCATCTTCCAAAATGTTCCCATGTCATCATGACAAATTCAATACGCTTTTCTTTAAAGTGAGTCCTGCACCTCTTCACAGTAATGCACCTAAAAAAATTCACAAGTTACCATGCACCCTTCCCATCGTTCTTCGATAAAACTCATACCTTTTTGTGCACAATAATTACTGGCATAAAAGCTAGTCGGTTGGTAACGCTGAAAGGCATTTTGCAGGGCTGTACTAAGCTATGTAACCCTAAGTACCACCAAGCACCCACCTTACTCAAAGGTTGTTCGGGATGTTGTGTTCTTGATATCCCTTTGTACCTGTCAAAACACATCTGAGCCTTACAGTAAGAATTTAACTCGTGATTCACAGCAAAATGTCAGAGTAGAGGGAACCTCTCGGGTCATCGGTTTCCGCTCCCCGCTACCACAAACGGTCACCTCCTGCCATTTCTTCCCTAGCCTTGTCAAGGGATATGTTAACACGAAAATGTAGGATCCACCATCCTCCACACATTCAAATCAGATAAACTCCTGGACACTGTACCCCCAGCCTTCCTGTCTCAGCTGTAAACATGGATTGAGCTGGAAATCACATTAAAACAGATAAAAGGAAGCGTTTCTTTGCACAGTGGATTGTAACTTCTGCAACTTGCTGCTGCGCGAGGCTGTGGAAGCAAAGACTGTCAGTAGGTTCAGACACAGGTTAAATAAATTATTGGACAACAGGTCAACAAATGGAGCTCAAGGTTAGGGAGGGATGTGCCCTCTAACATCTACCAAGAGTAAGAGGAACTACTACAAAGAGTAGCCGGGCTCATGGCTCTCCCTAACTAGCATCTTATGTTCCTATAGCTCCTTGCAGTGTACCTCCCCTTGTGTTGTTCACCCTTTTCCAAAAGCTGCCAGTTAAAAAGCCCTGGTTGCTGCTGAGGGTCACTCCATAGCTGGTAAGGAACTTAAAGTTGGGCCCCAGACGAGGAACTGGTCTTGAAAGAAAAGGAAAGCTTCTGGTGCTTGACTAGGCTGGGGAAGGGCTCTCTTGGGTGGTGCCCAAGGCCCTTTGCCACATCCCCAGCTCAGGCAGGCGACAGAGGCAGTCGGGAGCGGCTGCTCGTGGTATTGGCAGAGTCGGCCAAGTTTGGGAACCGGGGAGAGGGGACAGCAGGGCACAGGGTGTGACAAGCCAGGTGTTCCTCCCTGATCCTCTGCTCCTAGGCTTGTGTCTCACCAGAGGTACAAGAAGCCAAACCCAGGCTTGCCTTGGAACTCTGCAAGCCATGCCTAAAACTGGAGACGCAGAGCAGCTGAGAGAAGAGGGAGCGGAGACACAGCTCTTCCCCCGCGCTGGCTCTCAGTGCACAGGTGCAGGCAGCACTGGTGGCACATGCCCATGAGAGTGTGGCTGAAGGCAAGAAGCAGCCCAACGGAAGGACCGAGGTGTGGGCAGCCAGAGACCTGGGGAAGGGTGAGAACGGAGCAGCAGGTTTTGGCAGGAGGGAGGCTGAACCTCTGCACCAGACAGGAGAGCAGACCTGGGCCTGGGGAGCAGGCAGGGACAGTCCCCTCCAGCACTGCCGACCTCCTCTTCTCCGTCTCCACCTGGGGGGAGTTGGTCCTTCACCTCGACACCCAGCTTGCTGGACAGCCCATGGAAAGAAACAACACTGGAGGGACTCAGAAGCCATCTCAGAAATCCTTGTAAAGAAAAGCAGCCCAGCAGCCAGCCCACCTGCAGACTCTAATCCCACTGCAACTGGGAGGTCTCCTCCTCTGTTCCTTGCCACCGTGCGTTAGGTGCCCGTTCCTGGGAACGGCCGTTTGCATCCCACCATGACCAGCAGACCAGAGCCAGGGGCTTCTGCAAGGCCTCTTCAGAGGCTGCTCTTGCTGCAGCCATGAATGCACCAAGGAACCACCGGCTGTGGGTAGGGTGGAAATGGGAAAGTGCCAGGAGGAAAACAGACTGGGTCCCGAAGTCAGCAGGAGACTAGCCAGAGGTTGGAAAATCTGCTAGATGAGGAGAGACCAAGAAAGCTGGGGCTGCCCAGCCCAGAGAAGAGGAGGCTGGGGGGAGTCTTGAGGTCTTCTGGAGGCGAGGGCATCCGAGCAGTGCTGTCACCGGCCAAGCTTTGTAAGATGTCTGCGCCTAAGGACAGGGTCACCTTGCAAACTTTCTTCCAGACTGATTTCCAAGCCTACAGCTGAACTTCCCGCAGGTGCTAAAGAGACCGAGAGGTTAAGCCAGGCCCCACATGGCAGTGCCTTGGAGCCTGCAGTGACGGTCCTGGGAGGCACTGGCTAAGACGTGACAGGGCAAGAGATACTCCTAGGGCTGCTGTGAAACAGCCTGACATCAGGCAGGGAGAAGACACAGTTCAAGGTAAGGACCACGGCAACCCTTGCTGCCAGTTGGTTGTGCTGATGATGAGGATCTTCAACCCTGGGAAGCCTCAGAGGGCCCAGCACATGGGAATGGCTCTGGGGCACAGACCTTCTCCCAGCCAGGAGCCACCTTGCCCTGCTGGTGGCACCAAGCACCAGCTTTAAAGAGCGCACTGCAATTTCCTCAGCTGGAAAACATAGTTCCTTTGGGATGAGCAGGAGAAGACGTGCCACACCACAGGCTGGGAAGGTGCTCTGCACCTTGCTGTAGGCTTGGACGTGTGCTGACTTCCCGTGGCACATTCCGGTCGGTGCTGGCTGGCTCACCTCGGCTGTTTGGCTGGGCAGGACCAGAGAGGCATGCCTGCAGAGGCCCAGACGCAATTTTACCCTCTTATCCTTGTTCTCTTCAGATGCTGAGAGGCATTTCACTCCCTGCTAGCCTCTACAGCCCATTTCACTGCTCACCGAAGGCAGAAGAAAGACTCCGGTTAAATTCCACAGGCTGTGGATAAGGATCTTGTGTGCTATAGGACTAGAAGTCAGCTTTTAAATAACACCCTCTAAGCAGAATTCCTCATACCGCAGGACAGCCATGTTCAGAGAGAAGTTCTCTTCATATCGAGCCCGACTCTTCTTTTGTCCCCTCTTCCCGCACGAACACTTTGCAGCAAGCTGCAGAGCATGGCTGAAGGGGAAAGCTCAGCCTACTTCAGACAAAATAGCACTTAAGGGCCCGATGCTGCTGTAAAGGCCAGAAGTAAAAGCCTAACCGAGAGCTGTGATGCACGAGGCGGCTCTATTCAACAAGTCACTCGGATATCCGGAAGCTGCACGCAGAGGTAATTTATTTCACTTTGAGTCCGAAAAGCTCAGGTGGCCTCTAAGAGCAGAAAATGCTCCAGGCCCATTTGACTTTCTCTCCCTCTTTCTTTTGTGCTGGAATAACAAATGCAAAAGCCCATTCAGTGAAAAGGCTGAATGCAGCAAACTTTCATCCGATGCTCAGAAGAGTGAAGGCACCAGCCCCAAGCGCAGCCTGGCCTGCTGGGACCATGAACAGCTATTTTCTCCCAGGTTCCTTCGTATTTTGGAGCTGCGCAATAGGCAAGCTTGGCTCGACAGTGAAAACACCTATGAGAGGAGAGCAGAGCTTTGCAGCTTTCGTATTTCGTATTTTGGAGCTGCGCGAGCTCGGCTCGACAGTTGAAAACACCTATGAGAGGAGAGCAGAGCTAGAAAGATCATAGCAGGGACCCTGCAAACTCCTGGCTGGGATGACTTAAAGCCCAACGGGTTTTGGTTAGGAAACTGTGTCTCAAATGGGTCTCATGAGACACAGATGTGATGAGAAGCCAAAGCCCTGCTGTCTCCTGCAAAGGCTGGTGGAGCTGGGTAGTGAAGTGGGTGAGAGCTGTTGACCTTCAGGCTTTGGGAGCAGTCCTGGCCACCTCAGCGCGGGGCTGGATCCGGGTTGTCCCGTCCCTGGATCTCCAGAGGAACGCTCCAGCTTCCTTGATGCTGGTGCCCAGGTTTGCAAACAAGCACACAGCTCTCAGACGGACGTGCCAAGGCCTTTGTGGCCTGTGATTTGAGTTTTCTGCCTCTCGTATGAGAAGGGTTTGTCACAGGTTTGCTCTCCACTCTACCTCTGCCATATGTGAGTTCCATTCCTCGCTGACCTGTCCTGCCCATGCATTCAAACCTGGCACACGCTCTTTCTGAGCTGGAACAGTTATCTCCTGCAGATGAGTGCAGGTAAGCAAGTGAAAATGCCCTGCGTAGCCTTGCTCTGCTTCTATCTGTACATCAGTTTTCAGCAGAAAACCCCTTTTTTCCTCCTTGCTCAAAGCCACCAGAAGTGCTCTGTGGCAAGAAGGATCTCACCCTCCTTCTGCCCCACCAGCAGCCCCACGAGCTGTCTGTGCTCCCTTCTGACCCCAGACTGTGTCTGCCCTCGAGCCAGCTGCCAGCCAGGTCTGGCAATGCTGCTGTGAAACAAATCTTCCCGTGGCTTGGAAAAGACAGATTTTAGTCTGGGAGTAAGGAAAAGGGATTCCGCTGAGCGTGGAAAACTCCCAAGGAGGGGTTTCTCGCCTGGCAGCAAGGCCATGGAGCGGCAGATGCGCTGGTGGGGGCTGATTCCTTCCTTCACGGCTGCATCACCCGCTGCTTCTGACTCCCACCTCATTTCTCGGAGCTAGCCTTATGACTCTCCACCTGCATGTCAGAAGCAAGCCAATTTTCCGCGACAGATTAAGTGCCCGGTGTGACAAATGTACTTAAAGTCAAGCGGGGAGACTCCTCTGCAACCTGCAAGGGAGTGTTTAATATTCTAACTGAGTGCCTGCTGGTGCGGGGGTGATGCAGACGATGCCGGCGTGGCTGGCTGTACACCCCGTGGGTCGGCAAGGACACCCGTGCGGCTCCACGGTCCCTCTGCTCTCTGTCGTGCACTGCCAGGAGCTGGAGGAGACATCCTGCGGTTATGGCATTGTGCAGCCATGCACAGCCCTTAGTGTCTCAGGAGCAACGTTGACAGTGTTGTTTTGTTTTAAATGTAATTAATGAAAACATCTGCGCTTCCCTTTGTGTAATACAAACCCTGCTGCAACCAAATTTTAAATACCTCTCTGCGGGATGCCTCTCACTGTACCTCCCCAAAGAACATCTTCTGCAAAGGAAAGAGGTGAGAGAGAAATTCTGGCACTGTTCAAGGCTCCTGACAAAACCTTTCCTCCTCCTGTCAGTGCTGTTTTTCCTGCAATGATTGCTGAGGTACCGGAGGACCAGTGGAGCGGTTCCCTGTATTGCAATGCTAAGCTTGGGTAGGCTGGACGGGCCCCAAGCGTGCCTGTGAGCAGTGTCCGAGCGCGTCGGGCTGGAGCTGTTGCAATGCCTTACCCTCAGATGTCTGGAGGACCAGGGTCTTGCTGTACGGGCTGACTCCTGTTTTGTTGAAGGCTTTGACACGTGCGCTGTACGTGCTGTTGAAGTGAAGCCCATCCACTGTGCACATGGTCTCCTTGCCCACGTACACCTCCTGCAAAGCAAGCACAGGCATGGGTTAGTGCCCTGACCACGGAGTCCCGGGGGTGGGAGAACAGCTCCCGGCGGTCGTGACGCACAGGGTTCAGCCACGCTCTGCTATCTGGGGCAGACTTAAGAGCACTGGATACGGCTAAAGCAGAGCAAAACGGCCCTATGATTGTTCCTTGACAATACTGCGCCATAAAACCAGTTTCTGTAGGGGAAGGATATGCTACTCATATACAACCAAGTCATAAGGCATCAATCCCAGCCAAGCTCCCACTGAATCCCAGAGGAGCTCTGCCAGAGAGAGGAATTTATACAGACTGAGCCCAGGACACAGAAACATCCTTGCAGAAACCAATTTTCCATGCTCTTGGGTGGCAGGATCAAAGCATTCCTTGAAAGAAAACAAGGTGATCGCACCGAACGGGTGCTGAGTCACTGGCTTCTGCTGCCGTAGCCCCGCTCAGAGGAACGGAGCTGTGCGAGCAGGGACAGCGGTGAACAGGCCTAGCGGCTACCGAAACACACAGCTCACAAAACGTTGACTTGTATTTAGCAGATCCCAAGATAAAGCCCTGTTTGCTGCCCTTCACGGAGCAGAGGGAGGCTCTGCACAGGCAGCTCGCCCGCGTGGGAAAGCTTCGCTGCCCTGCTCCCACTCCAGAGCCTGCTGCGCTTTGCTGCCCGAGGTGATGGGGTGCTGCTGCTTCTAGAGCCAACGCTTGAATCTGGCCCCTTTCCTCGCAGATGGGTGCATGTCCCCAGAGCTTATAGGGGTGCCTGCATGCTCCCCTGCACTGCAGAGCAGAGATGATGGCTCCCACTCCCCCCGAGACCGTGACCAGGGCTGGGAGCAGCCCAAGCCACAGGGGACCTGGGAACAGTGACGAGTCAGTGCTCAGGGTCAAGGAGTGCAATGTAGGTGTCCTAATCACTAGTGCCCCTCACTACAAGAAGGACATCGAGGTGCTGGAGCGTGTCCAGAGAACGGCAACGAGGCTGGT